CTACATTGGGTGTTGAATTATATGCCATGGTTGCTTCTCCTGCCACTGATGAAATACTGTTATTGATCATAAAAAGGTTTTTTTTTCTGGACGGATCTTAAAACAACAGTGTGGTCTCTAGGTAAGAATTGAAGGGCCTGTGCAAAAAGTTTCTGATGAGGAATCTGAGCAATATTTTCACAGTCGTCCTCGAGGAAGTCAGCTTGGTGCCATAGTTAGCAAGCAGGTCCGCCAGTTAATCTAATTCTTGAAATTGTTTCTTTAACTAACTTTCTTTTATTTGCCCATATAATTTGCAAACATTTGTCTCTTGCTTTTCCTTAGAGCACAGTTATTCCTGGGAGGCAATTTCCTCATTGACGAATACAAACAGTTGGAGGCAAAATACTCTGATGGGTTAGTGTCTAGCCTAACTAATCAACTGCCGTGGAGTGCAAACTGTTAAGAAGCCAAATGCTATGATGTTTCTATATCTGCATCATTCAAAACATGGTTTCGCTTCATGTTCTCATATTTCTGCTCAAATTTGTCTCATGTAATTCATTACCATTCTTTAGGAAATATGTAATGCACAGTAAATTTCCTCCCCCAATTCACAGTCCCTTTGAAAAAAAAACTTGAGGAATAAGTTTTTTGGAAGTGCCTAGCTAGGAAATATTCATAATGAGGGAACTCCATCAAAAAAGATTCATGAAGAGGGGATGAAAATTCAGAAGTGGTGCTAAAAACTAAGAAAAACTAAAATCCATTGGGGAGAGAATAAGTTGAGTTCTCGTACCCTTTTATAGATTTAGAAGTTTCCTTATTCTGCAATAGGAAATTGTTGAAAAGTTGAATCCCAAATGTTCCGCTCTGAACTTCCCAGTTGCTATTTAAGGGTTTTCCCTTGCAATTTCATCTCAACTGCAGTTAAATCTTTTTGTTTGCAGTGGTAGGTAGAAATGCATGTGTCTACTGGGTAGTCAATTGATGCCTGCCTTAGCTTAGACGCAGCTCGAATTAGACTTCATCTGTAGGTCCAATCAAAGTTCAGCCTGCATGAGAATGCTAATTTAATATCATTAGACTGTTAAAGATTAAGGACATTTAATCTAAAATTGTAGATCAATAAATCAATATGTTAAGTGAAGTGTAATGACATTTGATCCGAAAATTGTAGAACAACAAATCGATCGTGAAGGGAGGAAAAAAGAACTAAGAGAGCAATACCAAATACGTTTTTTCCATTTTGGTATTTAGCTATACAAACAACTTGACACCAGACTGATAAAGCTCAAACTTGCCTTATGCTGACTTGTGACAACCTTCTCAAGTTCAATTTAGACTCTGCTTCAGATATAGTGCTAAATGACCCCTATTCAATTGTTCAGTTCCTATTTTGCATATGTGCTATTATGCATTTCAGTATTTCATGTTTTTATCTAACTTAAAACCAAAGAATTTTGTCTCTGGTAATGTAACCATTTCAGTACTTGACATAGCCTTCTCAAGTTCAATTTAGTCTCTGCTTCAAAAATAGTGCTAAATGACCTCTATTCAATTGTTCAGTTCCTATTTTGCATATGTGCTATTGTGCATTTCCGTATTTTATGGTTTTATCCAACTTAAAACCAAAGAATTTTGTCTCTTGTAATGCAACCATTTCAGTACTTGAGCATTTATCGTTTCCTACCTCATGCTATGTAAATTGCACTCCCATATCCTGTATAGACTTGAGAACCTATGTTGACTTATCTGCAGAAGTCTGATTCCGAAACCAAAGCACTGGGGAGGCTACAGGCTTAAACCTGAGATGTTTGAATTTTGGCAAGGACAGCAATCTCGCTTGCATGACAGGTATTTACTCCAGGATGTCTCTTCTGAAGACTTACATTTTATGCTAGGAATATATCCAAGTAGAAATCAAGTTTTAGCAGATTTCCTTTTAAAGTGCAAGAGAAACTTTACAGATGCAATTTTCTAGGTAGCTCGTCATATGGAAAAGGAATGTGATATAAAAAACATAACAACGGAGTGGAAACAGAGATGGAATGTCTTTTATGCCTTTAACAATCTAAAAAAGAGATATGGAACGTTTAATAATACAACAAACAATTTAGAAAAGAGTTTAACTAAAAAAGAGTGAATGATATAGAATATATTTGTGAGAATTGAAATATCCAGGGACCTTTTTGGGAACATCAGCAGTTCGGATACTGAATGCTCTGTGGTGAACAGATTTCCACGAATCACCTGATATAGGCAAATGGTTTCTCAAATTCTCAGATATGTGAATGCTGTCAAAGTTTTAAAACTACAAGTATCCAAGACTGTGTTGTTTACATATTTGAACTGCAATTTTTGCTGAGACCACCACATTAACTTCAGCATGTCTGCGTCTTTAGAAAGTTAGGTTGCTCTTCTTTCCCATATAGTTTATGGCTAAACTCGATCGGTTTCACAATTGCAGGTTGTGTTATGTCCCGGAAACAGTTGATGGAAGGAGAGTTTGGAGAATTGAGCGATTGGCTCCATGACTTATGTTCAGGGCATCCTCATAATTGTTGTACTCTCTTTAGGTTTTTCTTTCTCTTCTCGGCGAATATCTGATCATGTTTCTGTGTATTGCACAAGAGTCGAGACAACTTTCTAGGGTCCAAATAAAGTTGTTGAATTTCTCCGCATGGCAGAACTTAAAGATGAGATTTAAGTTATATACATTGATATTGATATTGTAAAGATTTTTTATATGGCCAGTGTAGTGTAACCCATTAAAATATGCTATTTACCATTTTTATCATATTATAAATTCATTCATGTATTTCTGGAAACTACACAAATATGATTTCCTCTTATCTGTTTTGTAGTTGCGTTTTAAATTGGATTTTTTGGAAGACAAAAGTAGTGCAGTCACAAATCTGGCCAATGCTGTTGATTTCACAACATTATATTCCGTGTTATATGTAACGGCAAAGGGCCAAATATACCCTTCTACTTTCGAAAATGGTCTAAGAATACCCCTCGTTATACTATTGGGTTATATATACTCCTGCAGTCATACTTTGGGTTCAAATATACCCCTCATTTAAACGGAGGGACACATGTTATCGTCCTGTTGGTCAATTCTAAATATCTTCTAATTAATTAAAAAGACTCATTACCCATACTCGAATTTTATTTTATTTTTTTTGTAAAAACTTAAAAAAACTAAAAAAATTATTTACTAAAAACTGAAAAAAACGAAAATATTTTTTTTTCTAGTTTTTACAAAAAACTGCTTTAGAAAAACTAAAAAATATTTTCTAAAATAATATTTTTGTAAAAATTAAAAAATAATTTTCTAAAGCAATTAAAAACTGGAAAAAACTAAAATATTTTAAACTAAAAACTGGAAATTTTTTTTTGTTTTTTCAGTTTTTACAAAAACATTGCTTTAGAAAATTACTTTTTAGTTTTTTTTTTCAGTTTTTACAAAAATATTGTTTTAGAAAATATTTTTCAGCTTTTTTTAAAGCAGTTTTTTTGTGAAAACTGGAAAAAAAATTCGTTTTTTTCAGTTTTTAGTAAAAAAAAAATAGTTTTTTTTCAGTTTTTACAAAAAAAAATTAATTTAGAAAATTGATTTTCAGCTTTTTGTTTTCAGTTTTTACAAAAATATTGTTTTAGAAAATATTTTTCAGTTTTTTTAAAGCAGTTTTTTTGTAAAAACTGGAAAAAAAAATATTTTCGTTTCTTTCAGTTTTTAGTAAAAAAATTTTAAGTTTTTACAAAAAAAAAAAAAAAAAAAAA